TATATATGATTAGACAATATTATTAGGGAATTAAGCATAATAATATAAAATTTATTTTAAGATAAATATGTTTACAAATTTAAATATGAAAATTTTTAATATTAGGATTTATAAAAAAAATATACATTTTCTTTTTTTGTGTTGTAAATACCTTTTTAAAAAATCTTTTAAAGATATAATATACTATTTATTGTAATTTGTATTTTAAAAAAATTAAAACATCTACGAAGCAAAATAATAAGAATTTTTTTAAGAAAAACATAATTGTGTTCCTAAAAGGAACAATAATTAAATTTAAAATATATATTCAGTCGAAGAAATAAGAATTATTAAGTTCAAGTGTTTGTATTTTTATTTTGGGAGCTAAATATTTTAAAAAGCAGTAGTGATAGGCGCAATCCTTTGATAGAAGTAATGATTGATGAGAATATAAAATTGCCGAGGTTTTTATTGTTGAATCTTTTTAGCCTCTGCTATATTGTAAGCAGGTTGCTGTTTATGTTGGTAGAAGGATGAGACGCATGTATAATCCCAAAATATAGATTTGTCAATGACCCAAGGGATAGTGGTCAAAGCGTCAGGTCTTAGACCATCATCAGTTGAAAGAATATGGGGTTCTAGAATGTTAGGAAGACGAGCCTTTTTTTAAAAAATAGGCTTATTATTGATCGAAGATTGGCTTGATAATGGTTTTTACTTTTAATGCAGTTAACCCATTAATCACCAATGTTTGATTTTTGGAACATCAACTTTGGCGTTAAATAACTTTAGTTTTATCATATATAAATTAAAAAATGGTGTGGCCTGTAGAGATCTGCAAAGTTAGGCCCGGCTCCAACGGGCTTCGGGCCGGACTAGGGCCTAATTATAAAAAATAATCGGGTTCGGGCTGAGCCGGGCCTAATATTTTTAAAAAAAAATCGGGCCGGGTCGGACCTTGGAAATTTTTTTAAATATATCTAAATTTATCAATTTTAATATTGAATTTTTTATGTAAAATAAAAAATTTTGATTTTATTTATTGAAACTAAAACATATGTCTTTTATTTTGAGTAATTATAAAAATTAATTTCTATATTTAAATAAATTCGGGCCGGGCCGGAAAAACCATTTTAAAATAAATTTCGGCCGGACTTGAAAAATTAGGCCCGATGCAGATCACTAGTGGACTGTCTATCTTTTTCTTTCTAAAAATGCAAACAAAAAATTTTTTGAACTTATTTTGTAATGCATCAAAAACTTTAAAAAAAATAATTTAGATAAAATTTTAATTAAAAAAAATATATATTCTTAGTAACTCATATCCTTTAAATATAATTCATTAAAATATTAGTCTCAAAGGTATTCATTTCCCAAATATATAAGGTAAAATAATGTTCCATTTTTCAAACATTGGTAAATAACGATATCTAAATTTCAATTGATTTTTTAGATTTTTTATTACTAGCATGGAATACGCTCATTTAAAAACAGCTTTAGACGCATTATTAGAAAATTAGGATGATGAGGAACATGAAATTATTGTATTATCACCAGATAATTTAGGAGACGTCACAGATGAAGAAGATAACGATCAAGATATAGTCAGAAGATGTTGTGGGAGAAGTTGAGATAAATAGTCAGAATACTACTATCTAAGAGAATAAAAATTTCAAATATAAAATGGAAAAAAACATAGTGAAAGGTATTATAATATGATTTCAAAAGAACCAATTCAGTTAGAAAATTCCTTCCCTGATATGTAAAATCCCTTCTAGAGTTATTTCATATGTTTTTTGATGAAGACATGAATTATATTCTAATCAAAAATTAAATCATTCCTTTGACATTCAAGATTTTGATATTTTTATAGATATTATTTTTATAGTGGACATCATATTCTTCCTAAGAAAATTTATATTGGTCTGCAGATGAAGTAGGTTTACATTTTATTTCCAAAAATATGTCTAGAAATCGTTTCCAAGAAATAAAAAGATATTTACAACTGACCAACAATTTTGATATCGATAAAACTCACAAATTAGCGAAGGTCAGACCATTTTTAGATATTATTGGTCGAAATCTATAACAATTTGGGATATTTAAAGAAAATTTAAGTTTGGATGAACAAAATTATGGAAACCAAACTATAAAAATGTACATGCGAGGAAAGCCAGTAAAATTTGACGTAAAAGTCTGGGTTTTATCTTCATCTTGTGGATATCCATGTGCTTTTGATATTTATAGTGGGGATGACTATGAAACTATTCTCTTGGTGAAATAGTGGTGACCAAATTAACAGCTGTTATTTCTAAAGTTCAAGAACATGGACTATTCTTTGATAAATTTTTACTTCCACAAATTTATGCAGAATGCTAGGAGAAAACGGTTTACGTTGTACAGGAACAATCGGCATAAATCGAACCGAAAAATATCCAAAAACTAATGAAAAAGTGGCTGTTCATGCAATGATAGCATGAACTAGGTCGCAACTGAGTATATAGCCTAAGGTCACTCATAGTTGTTTGATGCTTATCACGTTGAAAGAGTTGAATATCTTCAAGATATGAAGAGGAAGATCGATTAATAAGAGATTTCGATATTAAGGGTGGAAATATGTTTTTGTGTTTTTAATATTTTGGGAATATATAAGCATTTATGAATGCTATAAAGGCTCTGGTGGGCTAGAAGTAAATTCAAAATTTATTCCATGTTAAAAATATTGTTAAAAATTTTGGATAACGATTCCTCAGATGGAGGGATATTTGATAAAGGTGAATGAAACCAATAGGAATAAATTATTTAGGTCTGTAATTTTATAACCCGATAATTCAGTGGAAATGCTATAAAGGAGGCAGGATTTCGTTTGAATTTTATTAAGAATGAGTCCAATATTTTTAGAATTGACTTCAAGGAAATTTAAGGTTTAAATTATTTTATGCAGAGGAAGGACCACATAATTCATCGAGATACCAAATATTTAGATCCAAATCGAATTTAGATTTAAGATCATGGATGAGATTATGAATACCAAGGAAAAATAGAATAGAACCAAGTAGGCCCCCTGATGGATGCCTTCTTCAGAGCCTGTGGCATGTTGACTGAATAAAAAAGTAGTTTTAACGCCATAGCATGTCTATAGGAATTTTGAATAATCAGGAAATCTATGATACAAACAACTTAAGAAATGTTTGCTAAATATGTATTGAAAGCATTTTAGGAGGATTTTGAATATAAATACGAATAGCATGTGAAACTATTTAGCATCCTCTCTTAACACTGAATCCTCATTGATACGTACTTCATATAGGCGCATACGCAAGAAAATTTAAGTGAGGATAATTTTAAAAACATTCTAGGAACTATTCAAGAATATTTTTAGTTTCAGAAATTTATTAGAACTAGCACTAGTGACTATCTATTAAATAAATGTTTCCAAAAAGGAACTTTGTAAAAAATGAAAATTTTTTAAGCATTTAAAATTTGATATGTGGCCAGGCCTTATATTTTAAATCATCATTATTAGCTATAAATATTAAAAATAAATTATATTTTAAAAAACCCGGGGCCAGGCCATGCAAATGGTACCTTTGTTTCTGAAATATATATAATGCACAAAAATATTCTCTAGAATTATTGCATATACATAAACTTAAATATTATTCATAAAAAAAAATTTAATTAAAGAAGCATATTATAAATTTATAATATAAAATTCAATTTTTTGAACTAATTTTTCAATAATTTCATCAGCGCTTGGTGTAAACTTCCAATGTATATTAAGATTTCAATCTATTTCCAGAGGGTATATTTCTCAGGTAAGTCTTTATTCTTCTTAAAGAAGAAAATGTTCTTTCGTTGGCAGAAGTATTAATGGGTAGAATTGTCAAAATATATAATTTTAATATGTTAGGAAATAGTCCAAAACGTGTGAAATTATGCAAAGCATTTATAATATTTTTTGGAACATATTGAACTGTAGTTAACCTTTTATACTAGTATACATTTAGCTAGTAACAGAGATACTTTAACAACCTCACAATAAAAATCTGCTATTTCTCTATCAAGATTTGAAAGATTCGAAAAGATTCTGAGATAATGCAGATTTGTAAGTGCTACCTGATAAATCGAGAACTTTTTATTCATTTGAGTAATAAAAGTATCCAAGAGAGGAACAAATAAGTGACCTTATATTAATATTGGAACAATGGATTGCCTTGGACAAATATTAAATTCATAGAAGCTTTTGACTCAACAATAACATGTAATTTATGAAATTCGTCATTTACATTTGCCCTAATTTCCTTAAGTTCAAATATAATTTTTTCACCTATTCTCCTAATCTCGATCAAATCGGTGTCATTTTTTTGAAATTTTTTAGTTTTACAGTTAAAAATTCAAATGATTTAGTGGGTAGAAAAATATAACAAACCGCTATTTCATAGAATAAATAAGTAGCGGATTTATTTATGTTGTGAGTATGAGAAATAAATGTAAATTGAAATATAAATGCAATAGGTAAAAATGATTATAAAATTTAGATTAATAATCATAAAGCAGTAATATATTTAAAATATATTTTAGCCTACATCTGAATTTTTTAGTTTTGGGGGATATATCCCCCTGCTCCCTCCCCATTGCGTACGCGCCTGAGTTAATAAGATAAGACCATAGGTTTTGAACAGTGTCATGATTATTTTTGATAATAATCTCTTATATATTAAGCCAATTGCGATAGGGCGAATGCCTCCGCAAGATTTTTGTTTATTAATTAAATTATAAACAAAAGGATAAATTTTTTAAAAAATATTTATAAATCTTCATCTTTTTAAATGCATAAATATATTAATATTTTTTTAAAGAATCAAGAACTTGGTATTTTACTCGAACCAACAGGATCCAAATATAAAGACCCGCTCTGGTGCATCTCTACTTTATTTGATTATCGATTTAAACAAGTGGGGTGGTCACTTAGGATATTATAAATTTGTATTATGTATTAGCTTAGAATTAATAAATACTTTGAGGAAACTATATCGTTGACCATTTGAGGAGATAGGCGGAATATGAAAAAGGTTTCTTGTGTAACTGTTTTCTCGTAATTGTAGGGTACTATGTTATTTTTTTAAAAAAGAGGTAAATAATTAAATTTAATATTCAATATTAATTTCGAAAATAGAAAAATATTATTATTGGCTGTTAAACATACCATATCATAATAAAAAACTTAAAAGTATATGACAATTATAAGGAAAGAATGTACAATGAAAAAAATATGGAATAGTTCTATAACAACCACATGTTCCAAATGTAAAGTTGGTTTAGTGTTAATTTTTATGTATATCGTAAAAATTCCTTATGAATGCTTATATTTTATAATTTTATGATTGAAATATACAAATTTGAATAAAATATTAATTGTATTCGAAATATAATTATTCTTCAAATGATAATTTTTGAAAATAGACTTATCTGTTATCCTGTCCTCATCCACCTCGAACAAGATAATTGTAGCATTTATCCGTTAAATGCCTTTTCTTCCGGAAAAACGTGTCCAAATGCCCTGCGAATGTTTAAAATCTCGGAAAACTGTCGAGAATCATAAAATGTCAATTATTTCTAAGAAATTATCAGTTAGAAGAGGAACATAATGAAAATATAAATAAAATTCAAAAGTTGATAATGATAAACAACCAAATCATATAATAATTATAATACGAGCTACAAAAAACCAAATCCCTGCCACTCCTGCGCCGGAAACCATAGAAGGAAAAATTGTTTTTTCCACTTGTTATAAATGCAACAAAATTGGGCACATTGCTCGAGTTTGTAGAAAAGAAATAGTGAATTTTATGAATAATAAAACAAACGAATATAATCCAGAATTTTGAGTAAAATGTTATGTATTTCTAATATCTCTTTATTTTTTGGACTATCTGGTCGCATAAATTTACCAATATTTTATAAGTATCACATCCTATTGTTAATAACAGGGATTTTTCTTGTGATGATGTTAATTTTGGTTGTGTTTTTAAATTCTTTAAATAAGTCGTACCAATCTTTGTAACACAAGTTTATATCAGTTAAACTTTTTATCGACTGCGCCATTTTTTTTATTATTGTAAATGCGCGACCACACTTTTTCATTTATCTAGAATTTTTGAGTGTAGTATTCTAACTCCTCCTCCTTTTTGTTCCCCCGTTCAAATATTTGGTCTAACAATCCTCTAGATTTTATTTTTAGTAGTATTTAAGCCGGACTTTGTTTAATTTCTGCCCCTGGTGTATTTCTGTAATTGTAGGGAAAAATAGCTAGACTTATCTTAGGAAATCCGAATCTGGCAAAAATATTTCTTAATATTTTTATCGTGCTTTCGGTTGTAGTACTAGTCATGGGAACTATTTCAAGCTAGCGACTGCTAGCATCTATCACTACCAACCAATAATGATTTTGAAATGGTCCAGCATAATCAATATGTACTCGGTGCCTTGCAATTTTGTGGTCTTTTGAGGCATATCGTGTTATTCCTGGCATTTTCTACATTTTTCGACCCATGTCAATATCTTGGTTTATATTAGGTTACCACATGTATTGTCTTGCTCTCATCTTCATTTTTACCATTCCAATATGTACTTGATGTATCATGTCTAACACGTTGTTTCGGTATTGTTGTGGTATCATTTTAGTTCTCCACAATAAACAACCTCTCTCTGTTGTAATTTCCTCTTTCTTTTGGCTATACTACTTTAAACATGCATCATAGTTTATTGGCCATCCGTCTATTATATACCTGATACTTTAGAGAGTACATCATCTCGCATTGTTTCTCTTTCAATTTCGTTTGCATTTAAAGGTGTTTGTTCTCCCACCTGTATTTGAAGTGTTTATTCTTTTGATATTGGGGTTCCCTTTATAGGTAATCGAGATAGCATGTCAGCATTGGCCAGTTGTGGATTACTTTTGAATTCTATTTCATATTGGTAACCTGCTAATAATAAGGCCCATCTTTGTATTCTGACAGTAGATGTTGTTGGAATATCTTTTCTTGGATGAAATAAACTCATTAATGGCTTGTGGTCTGTTTGTAATGTGAAATTTTTTCCATATATAAATTCTATTTTGTAACCCCATATATGATGGCAAGAACTTCTCTTTCTATTAGGCTATAATTTTTCTCAGCTGCATTTTGTGTTCTTGAGGCGAATGCAATTGGACTCTCCTTACCCCCCTCTATATGTGATATTACTGCCCCAATTCCTATGACTGACGCATCTGTTGCTAATATAATGGGTAATTTTGGATCATAATGTTGTAATATTGGAGTACTACTTATTTCTTGCGTTATTTTTTTATACGTGTCTTTGCATTCATTAGTCCATCTTCAAGCAACTTTTTAACCCGTTACTGGTTAACGGTGCATATATGCACCACCTCCTATATACCTTATTTTAACATAGTAGTTTTTTTTTTTAAATAATAAAAAAGATTTTTATATAGTTCAGACATTGTACTTCAAAACTGGAAAAGAAAAATATGAAAAAAATATTTTTTTATGCCCCTAAGAAACCCTCAAACTTTGCGAATTTATGAGGTCTAAAATGCAAAATTTTCTAAGTGATCTCACGAGCATATTATAAAATTATTTCGATGAAAACTAGTGTGTATATATTCTTTATAGATATATCAATATTTATCAATCATTTTTGAATTTTTAAATAATTAATATTTTAGTAGGTAACCACATAAAGTTGACTGGTGCATATATGCACCGTTAACCATCTAGCAGTATATATTATTTAAAAAAATTCAAACAAATGAAATTTAACATAATGAATTATAATTTTTTATATTATACTTAAAACCACTACCGTCACTAAGGGTGGGAAAGGGAGGGGTGGGTGGCTCGAGCCCCTTAAGAATTTTTAAAAAAAATTTTATACCCAAAAAAGACCTTTTGAAAATAATTAAAAAAAATTTTTTTCCCCTGAGATTAAATCGAATAATATATTGTTCCTATTATAATTTTTTATCCCGATCAAATTATATGAAATTATTAGGTTCATAAATATTCAAAAGTTTAAAATTATTTTTAGCCTCTTCCTTTCTGAAGATTTTATTTTATTTATATAAAATATTATGCACCTGTTTTGTCAATTCAATCAAAATTATCAAAATAATAGATGACTAATAAAAAAATCAAGATTCTACGAAAATAATTTGTCTAGATATTTAATTTTTAATAAATTTTTTTAATGAAACGTTTTCTAACAATTGAACAAGCGCTTGCTCAACTTTTTGAAGAGGAACCAATTGAAGAAAGAGATATGGTTATAATTCCGCCAAACCCCTCTGCAGTTAGTGATGAAGAAGATTTCGATGAAAATGACTTAACAAATGTCGGAGTTTTGCCTTCAGATACAGCTGGAGAATTGGAGATTCATAATTCAGTTGATGACGACCTTCCAGAACCATATTCTACAAGAAGCTATTCTCGAATTTCTCACAATTTAAAATGGAGAAAAACGGATGCAATATATTCTTCAAGCCCTTTCAATGGAGAAAAGGAAGATGTAATAAAACTTGAAAATGATTTACATGGTAAAAGTCCATCAGATATATTTTGTTTAATTTTCGACGAAGACTTATATTCCCTAATTGTAAAACAAAGTAATATTTATGCTAAACAAATGAATAGACCTAACATATGCATAACCATCCAAGATATTCAGAGATTTATTGGAATTCTATTATTTACTGGATATCATTCTCTCCCACAAGAAAGAATGTACTGGTCTAATGACAGCGATATTTCTATTCCAATAATCCGGGATACAATGACCCAATTACAATTTCGAAATTTGAAATATAATATCCATTTGGCAGACAATACTAAAATAGATATACATGATAGATTTTATAAAGTTAGGCCTTACATTAATATATTGAATAATAAATTTCAGCAATTCGGAATTTTTAAACATCATTTATCAATAGATGAACAGATGATACCATATCGAGGAAGACATTCTTGCAAAATGTTCATAAAAGGAAAACCAATTAGATTCGGATACAAGTCTTGGATATTGGCCTCTTCCGACGGTTACGTATTCTCATTTGATATATATCAAGGAAAAAGCGAAAATAAATATGAATATGGATTAGGTGGAAATGTAATCATAAAATTATTAAAGGCATTGCAAAAACCAAATTATCATAAAATATATTTTGATAATTTCTTTACATCATTTAAACTCTTGTCATACTTAAAACAAATGGGATATTTTGCAACTGGAACTGTGAGGGACAATAGAATAGAGCATTGCCCAGTTGAATCTATAAAGGTTGTAGCAAAAAAAGAAAGAGGATATTATGATTATAGGTTTGAAAAATTAAACGAAATATTTGTAGTTCGTTGGAATGATAATTCGGTGGTGACCGTTGCATCGACATGCCACACTATCTCTTTGCTTTCTAATGTTTCAAGGTATTCTAAGAAAATATCTTCTAAAATAAAAATTCCTCAGCCAAATATGGTAACTGCTTATAACAAACACATGGGTGGAGTTGATCTATGTGATAATCTAATATCTACATATAGAATAAAAATAAGAGGAAAAAAATGGTGGTGGCCAATATTCACCAATTTTATTGATGTAGCTTTGGTAAATTCATGGAAAATCTGGAAATTCGTGAATCGAGATGACAAGAAGAGTTTGCTTGCATTTAGACGAGAAGTTACTAACTACCTCCTTCGAACGCCAGTAAAAATTGAAAAAAATTCAAGTACAGGTCACGCCAGCCAGTTTGCATTACAGTGTGAAAACCCTATTGATTCATCTGGACATTATTTATCCAAAATTATAGATGGAAAAAGACGAAGATGCAGATATTGCCATACGCACTCAAGATATATGTGCCAAACATGTCAAATCGCACTCCATATTAAATGTTTCAAGGATTTTCATAATATATAAACATTTTCTCGTTTTTATTATAAATTACAAAAAAAGAATAAAGATATTTGTTGTTTTTTTGATCTTATAGTATTTTATATAATTTTTATCTTTTTTAACCTCTTAATGGTTAACGGTGCATATATGCACCAGGCTAG